TACGCGCCACCACGGGCTGGTAAGGAGGTAAGCCTCCTTAGGTGCTCGTGCAGAGTTGTTCACACAACATGGGCACGAGTCTCCCCAAGAGAGGCAGGGTAATCCTTTCTCCCTTGACAGACGATGCAGCTTATAGCGTGCACCTGTCGGGGTTCGCTTTTCAAACTTATCACGAGCTTTGATAAGTTTGTCGTTCCAAGCGTCACGACCTACATCCTCGAGATTATGGATGTAGGCGTTCCACGCCTGAAGTAGTGAGGGACCATCACGTTTGTGATTCCCACTGTACCATCGATGTCTGAAGAAAGCATCGATGAAGAACTCATGTTCAGCGCGATAGTCTTTCGCGCTGGGGTCAAGGTGATGGATCCTTGACGAATCGAACAATCGTGTTCGATAACGATCACTCGTCGTCGCCGACAAGTGATCCATGACAGATTTAGGAGGCATCCATGCCTTCTTTTCTGGAGCGAGACGCAACACATTGCGGTCCCGCTCTTCCTGCGACGTGCCGACAGAAGTACTGGCACCTCGCTGTGAAGTGGTGTCCATTGGAGAAACGACACCACTATTAGCGCCCGAGTCTCGCGACCTCGAGCGCCTTCGCTTCGGCGATGGTTCATCTGACTCATCAGATGAACCAAAGATGCTGCGACGCAAAGCATCGTCCATGCCACGCTTGGCAGGCGGCTTGGATTCAATTGCCGTCGATACGGATCCGTCATCCGTATCAGGAGAGTACGAGACACCGAGCTCGTACTCTGTGAAGACACGAGTGTCTTCATGACCAGCGCCTGCATCACCAGGTGATACAGGCTGAGTCGATTCAGCAACCGATGGGATATCAGTTGCTGTAGTTTCTGCTTCGGCGTCCGCACAGAGACGTGCAGACGCGCTCTCGGCGGCCTTGCTCGCGCATCGCATGGGCTTGTTTACCATGCGATGAGATGTTGGAAAGTGGACGCGGACCAACAAGTGCAAACCCCGTCCCAAATGATTTGGGACGAGTATCCATTTAGTCAATCAGTCACTAAAGTGACTGATGGTTAAGGGGGGTGATGTAACGGGGTGAATCGTTACATAACAATTTATAAGAAATTGTTAATAGAATATAACTATAAGAGTTATATTCTCAGAATATTGTCATAAGGACAATATTCTGTAGCACTTCCAAGTAGTTCCTAATTGGTTGATATAGGCCATTATATCAACCAACGAAGACGCGCCACGACAGACGCACGCAATGAGTGGTGAGCAGATAACTGATTTACACATTTGTATTTAGACATAGTTAGATGAAGATAAATAGTGATTTATTGCAGACATTAACTATTATAAATACAGTTCTACTTTTTACTCTAACCGAGTACTCGCTTCTTCTTACCGTCTTCCTCTGCACGTACGAGTGTACGTGAAGTTACGAGGCACCGCCTTATTCTGTTATCAGAATAAGTAGCTTGTACTGTCACCAGTACAAGCTTCAGGGTGCCCCGTTACACCGAACGTCTACTTCGTAAAAGGTCACATTTCGGTTTTCTAGGTGTCCTTTACTACTTCAACGAATCGTTAGTATCCTCTGGTTAGGCACTTCAATATTTTTCGCTATCTTGACGTGATCCCCGCCTTCAGTGCCCCCAGTGTGGTAGCTTCGGTCACCCAGCCTCCACGTGTCACTTTACGGATAACCAACTCCGGGGATTGAAGGCATTGAGGTTACGGAGGGAGACCTATAAGCCGTGGAGGACCTGGAAATTTTTTTTGACAGTGCCGCCGAAATTTGCATCATGGCGGATCGACATCTTCAAGTTCAGCGGTCGGCGGATGCAGCGGTACAAACTCCCGTCACACCCAGCATGGTGCCAGTGAGTCCACCATTGGTATCCGAACCTCCATCTGCAGGTCCAAGTGAGAAACCGCAATTGGTCTAGACTCCTGCTAGAACAAACTCTGGTGAATCGGTGCCTGCCATTAAGCCCCCACTTGAGCAACTGTGGATCACGAACAATTCCATGGATCTAAAAATCCCTATACCACCCATCAGACAGTTAATTTCTCGACATATATCATTTTAGGACGGTTTTCAATGCTGTCATTCACGTGTGGAACGGATAGACCAAGTACGGGGTCGAATCCTGAGCCGTTGGTCACAAATCTGACGGATCACGACGGCATTCAGCCTGTGCAAACTCCCCTTCCACCTCTACGCTTGTCAACACAGGAACAAACTCGGCGGAAACAGGCGCTATCGCGCGAAAAGGTGCTGATTCACTCAATCCCGATGTTGTTGACTCTGAATAGTCAGGAGCGGACCACATGTATGAAGTTACTTAGCCGCATGAATGACGAGCCGAAGCACGCGATTTCGATGGAACCACGCCCGATCGAAGTCCCGACAGACTTGAAGGTTCTCACTCAATTACTGGGATTACAAGAATCAATTACGCCCGCAATGGTATTTGTCTGACTATAGCTGTAGCTCAAGCACTAGTCGACTCTGCGCTGGACGGGCCTAATGACAAATTGTAACGACTCACGGCCATCATTAAGAACGGTGTACATTACACAGGATGATTGCACCACGAGGAGCAATTCGCACATGATATCCGGGTGGCTGCTCTCCTTAACGTTAGCCGGGGCTGGGCATCAATGACTGATCGGGAGTCAACAAATCAATATCGATGGTACTTACAAGACTATGATGCTACACTATAAGACAGGGCTCGGTTATTGCCGAAACAGAATGGGGAGGCTGTGACATTCTTGGACTAGCGGACAATTTCCTAAGCCGGGACATCTATGTCATCCACGAGGAGGCTGCAAATTTGATCGACCATGTATGCTGCAATTACAATCTGTCCGTCCAGATGCTGAAAAACAAGGCCGTGGAAACGGTGCGGGAGTCTCAATTATCCCTCTCTACGTGCGTAGACGCTATTATCGCTGCGAAACTGGATCCTGGAAGAGGCCTTCCACTCGACCTCGGTTTCTCTGGACGGCATTACTCAGTTCTACTTCATTCCGATCGGCGGTAGGACTCTTGGACCAATCGGATTCTCCACCCGTTCAAGCGCATCGTTCAGTAACCTCTCAGTTTGCGGTCAAAGTTTTACCGAAGGGCCTCAAACTCCTCCAGATTCCGTTTTTCCATCGGGCTAAAATGGATCACAACTATTTTTTCATGCCTTGACGCTCGCTTTAAGGTCCGGTGTAGCCGATGTCTAGTCAGTCGGCGATGCTTCTCACGCTTTGGTACTGTACGGGAGCCCACCATCTGCTGCGTATCCGTCACCACCGGCGAATACACGGAAACGGGCACACTTAGCATGTAATGATGCTCAACCCACCGAGGACGCCATCCTGAAAAAAAGCACCGGCGCCTCCTATGTCGGACGCCTGAAAAATCAACGAACGCGGTCAGCTCGACATTGAGAACCCGGCTGGTCGCTTTGATCACTAAGATTGGTCGGGCCTTTGGCTCTCTAAAATCCCGGAATGCCACTTGCAACAGTAACGGCATGTCCGCGTGTCGACAGAACAACCGCGTAGTGGGTGATACCGGCTCAACAGGATCCTATCGCACTTCTCCATCACCTTCGGTGATAGTTTTTCCTGCGAACTGCTTGCAAGTCTTGACGCCCAAGTTCTGGTTCACTTAATGCCCGTTGGCGACAGGATAGCCTCCAATTTGGTCGGCACTCATTTCGCTAAAAGGTAGCATCAGCGTTTTCTCAAGAATGGCTCGGATGATGGATTAATCGCAAAACATCGACAGCCGCTCAGTCAAGACTATCATTGGTTGTTGATAGCGAGGGTGACTGGCACAATTTACGCGAGCTGAAGTACGCTGCAAGTTAAAAGCTCGCAGCGCCTATGTGTCCGTGCCGCAAGGTACGGTATTGTGGTGGAGTGGGGTTCGCTCGTTTTTTGAGGCGATCCCGACTCTCCACTGGCGCCCAGACGACCGACTAACGGAGGGGGTACTCCGATTCCGCTTGCACTTGTTTCCTCCTCACCTTGTGTACCCGTCGGCAGGGCGGGTTGCACTCTTCTAGGTGGACTCGACGAGATGCTAAACTTGACCGTTGTAGAGATTGGTGCTGATCGGGTGTAAAATCCTCACCCGATCGCGTGTTCTGGGTTGGCGCTCTCCTAGAGTCGCCGTGATCTGCCCTGGTCACCTTGTGCCAAAATGTGTACTTAAGTCGCGAGCCTTTCTGGCCACTTGAGCCGTCTCGCGATCTTGTACTTCAACCGATACGGTTGGCTGCGTCCGATCGCAGTAGGGGTGTGTTGAGAGTCCTAGCACTTCAGGCCAAATAGCTCCAGGAGTGATCGTTCTATCCTTGACGTCGAGATTCTCAGATGCCGGGAGGCCAAAATATCCAACCCGGGAGAAGATCGACACGAATGTGTTTAGAAGCAAATTGAATTCTGTTTAATGGTAACCAATTAGACCCTCACACCTTACCCCTATAACTCGGAAAATCAGATGCCACGCGTCGCCTATACAGATCGCCCCTTGTGTCCATGTGGCACAGACCTGACACACCAACCGTCTGATCGCATCAGGGCATGGTCCACGCCAGATCGCGGTCCCTTGATCGCGGCCCCTGATCGCAGTCCCCTGATCGCGGCCCATCAATCGCGGCCCCCTGATCGCGGTCCCTTACGCTGTTCTGAACCGTTCTGACCCGTTCTGACCGGATGAGATGTTTCCGTGAATGATCCCAACGGTGCCGTCCATATGATTGGTCCTCGTCCCACGATCATTCCGCCGGTCCCCACTCCGTACCTAGGCATACGTTTGAGGTTTTACGACACCGATCTTGATCGACTTTACTACAATTGCCCCCTGCACAAATAGCCGATCTGCAACATCTGGGTCGCTTGTGCACGTTTTAGTCACCACTTTCCATTTTATCCTCTCGTTGCCTTCCATAATTTCCCCGTCGTCCTTGCCCATCTTGCCACCAACTAGTCGTGCGCCATCTCCCTCGGTGATGACGCGAACTGGTCCCACACCTGCGGTCGGTGTTGACGTTTCGCCACGCGAACAACCAACTGGCCCCGATTTCACTACAGACGCGGTTGAAGGTACCTCGGTGAGCGGAGGTCCGATCGGCCCTGCTTTGGGACTCGATGCTGTTGTGGACCTCGCTTCAAATACGGAACCGATCGGCTCCACGTTGACGCCTGATGTCCTTGACAGTTCCGCTGCAAGTGACAAGCCGATTGGGGTCGGAGAATCTGCTGCAACCACTGATCCGATGAGCTCCGCGTTGACGCTTGATGTCGTCGACAATTTTGCTGCAAGTGGCGATCCTATTAAGGTTATTCCGTTGCCGGCAACCCGAGTTGAAACACCAATAGTTGATGAAACGATCGCCGTTGGCAACGGCTCGCATCCCAGTAGGATCTTGTGGATAGCTATCGCGATTTGGAGCAAGCGTTGCGGGAGCAAACTCGGAGGGGTGATCGACTATGACAAGAACTCCGTTCTCTTACCGAGTCGGCCTCTCCTTTTGTGATCTTCGCATAAACTCGTTGTGATCTCCTTCGTCTATATTTGAAAATGCACACGCTGAAGACGCTTTGCTTCAGGAGACAATTCGCGCGGGGAGTTTCTACGAGCAGACAAATTAGCGACCTCATGTCGAAACTTCTGAAAACGACCCGATCACTTCATACGTTTAAAGAACGTCATGATCTCGAGCTGACTTCATTGCGACGACACGTGGATGAGGGGAACGCTCGATTTTAAGCCGCACTCTTGAAGGCCAAATCAAAGAGCGCTAAGTACAAGGCAGACTGTACCAAGGCTCAGACCACGGTTCGCCACCTGCATTCTGCTCTTGCCGCTGTATCAGTTGAGCGCGATCAACTTCGAGATGATCTGGCTGAGTTGGAATCTGAGTATGACCGGTCGCGCTCCTTGCTCTCCTACCGTGACGTACGGTGGGTCTGCTTCAAGCTACTAACTCGGGTTTGGAGCTAGATCGCGATCAGGCGTTGCGCGATCGCGACGTTCTTCGAACGAGCATTGCCGCGCTCGTTACCGGCCCCAGTTTACCTTCTTCGTCCCGTCCAGTTGAGACGGCCCTATCTACGAGTGCTCGTATCAAAAGCCCTAGTACTTTCGCTCTAACCCCTCCTCCGCGGACCAAGAAACCCAGAATCGAGGCTACCTCGCATCCAGTCTTGAAGGTGACACCCAAGACTCATTCTCCAACTGCGCAGGTATCGTCGCCGAGACTTCTCCGCCGTGTAAAACCCCGAAGAACAACCCTTCCCGATCACCCCACAGTTTCACACGATCTCAAGCAAAACTTACGCCCAAGACTCCCGCTCTTCCCGGACCTGGTGTACGTAAAGGCAAAGACAGAGCGCGCAATCTGACGCCTGCTCCAGCTAGCTCAGATGATGCCGATTCATCGGATGCTGGGCCTCGAATCTTGGCTGCACTCTCCCGATCACGCGTTTCTTCACGGCGTAAAGTCCCGTTGGGTAATCCGACGACTCCGTCTTCTAAGTTACCAGAGTTGATCGTAGTGGATACATCCATCCCGGATGTGGATTCCCCCACCTCCACAGTTGCCGATTCCCTTAGGCCAAAACCCAAGATTTTTAAGGTCGACTTGTTTGGCGAAGCTTCTAGCAGTTCGTAGAGTCCGATCAGCGTTACGGAAGACGTCCGAGCCCCTGCCAATAATCTGTTGTCTTCGGCCGAGTACAAAGGACTTCCCAAGACTAAGGTGCCCCGCGAATAGTGGATACCCGGGTATCACCGTCGCGTACCAAAATCTTCTGTTCAAGTTTCACCTTGGTCTGCGCGCCGGGTGAGCTGGATTAGCGTGTTGGAATTGAATTTGGAGTTCTTTTATCGCCATCTCGCCAGGCCCAAGCATTACCCTTTTCTAGCCTCTCCTGCTGTATCGAAAGCACCTCCCATGTCTGAGTAGTCTCCCCACTTGAATTCGGCGCGGGTTGCCGCGCTTTATCGTCAAGAGCCCTGAAATCTTTGCGCGTAAAGATTAAGCCCATGTATTTCCACCTCGTTGAGTGGTTCGATCAGTTGCTGGACTTACACGACTCTTTCGAAGAGCGCTATATCCAGACGTTGTGGGAATCAACCCATACCTTGCCCATTTCTTCTGCCGATCGGGTAAGAGATACTGGGCTGGTGTTATTATGCGATCTGCGCAAACAGCGGCGATCGCGATCTGGACCTCCTTGGAAAAGCGCACTCAAGTTCATACTTCAAGGAATATTAGAAGGCCATTGCGACATGGACATTCTGCTGGACCCTGTTTTCTTGCACCTACCTCGCTTACATGAGAAGTAGTTCTGCTACCCCGGGTTGGGGACTGGGAAGACTAACATTTCCAACCTGGCTTCCGCTTTGTCGTTGGCGATCTCTGCTGAGCCATGGCATAGTCAGTACCGGACTTCATTCGCGAATCACCCAGGCAACCCCTCGCCGATCCGGTAAGTTTTCGCCCCGTAGTCTATCGAGTTAACACATTTCGTGTTTCAATTTCATTTCTTCATACTGTCTTCAATCTTGATCTGTCCGGAAATGTCTTCTAATTTAGGCCTCTTGGGCCGCGATCGTGCTTCGATCGCTACACATACTTACAAACATACTTTCCCTTTTCATACACCGCCTCCTGGTGTAAGTTTGCCCACCGTACGACCATGTGCAACCTCCTTGCACGCTTACACACCCCATCCACCTCGATCTGGTCAAGACTCCTGGCTCTTCTTCGTGCGTTTGCATCACTTCGAACCTATATCGACTTATCCGTTCGCGATCAAGCTCTTATAATAGAGCGCCACAAGTCAAGTATGCTTCATCCACCCATGATGGATCTCTATTACCTTTCCATTGAGCCAGAAATTGACGGTGTACTCGTCCGTAATGCGTCTTTCGACCCGATCGGGCGTCCACAGTCTTTGTCACCTCGAATTCACCATCATCCAACTCGCCTTCCCAGATATCTTCTGGTAGTAAGGCTTCGTCGAAATCGACCCGATCGGAATCGTCTACCTTCAGTTGACTTTGAGGCCGCTCTGGGAACATCTTCACTGGCTTTAGCTTGGACACATGTACTATCGGGAACAACCTATAAGGTGTGCCTGCGATATCCAATTTTATTGCATGATCTCCACATTTTTCCATTACTCGAAAGGGTCCGTGCCACATATAGGCTAACTTCCGAGCATATCCATCCTTCACGCGATCCAAATACAACCACACTTGTGCCCCTTGATCGATCTCTAGCAGATTTCTGTCGTCATTGTGACGATCCAATCTGTCCTGGATAGCGATCTTTAACCGATCGTTCACGATTGCTCTTGCCTGTTGATACTGACGCTGTATGTGATATCTCCATCTTCTTGGATCTCGATCGCGAGGTTTGACACTTCCCATTGGTAGTGCCGCTCCAAACGTCGATCGGGGGTCCTAGCCATGGATTAGATAAAATGGTGTCTATCCGCGGACTCGATCTTGTGCGGTAGTAATCGCATAGGCTAATCTTTCTGCATATTCATCCCAATCTCTCTGGTTTTCTTCAGCGACATACATCTTAATCGATCGCATTAGAGCTTTAACCAAGTGTTCTGCTGTTCCGCTCGCTTGAGGTCGATACGCCATTTTGGCCCGTTGCTTCTGTCCCGCGATCTTGTTGAAAGCTCGAAAGAAGTCAGACATAAATCCTGGCTCCCGATCATGACGGATAATTTCACTCGCACCAAATCTTCGAAATACGCTTTCTTCATAGTTCTCTGCAATCGTCTGTGCAGTTCGGGACGAACTCGCTTTTGCGATCACGTAACCCGAGAACAGATAGACCCACAACAGCAACTCAGTATTTACCGTAAATGATCGCGGTAAAGATGGGATATGATCCACTGCCAGAATTTGGAATGGGTACGTCGCTTGCAAGTTGCCTGGAGATCGACCCCGATCTTGTGGGCGACCTTTGCCGATTTCACAATCAATACATTCGCCAACATAGCGTTGCACGCTCCGGTACAATCCTCGCCAATAGAAATTCGCCCTGATCCGATGGTACGTACGGACTACCCCTTGGTGCTCACCCTCTAGACTAGTATGGTAATGGTGTAGGACGTCTGGTTGTAGCAACTCTGGAATTTCCAGACGAATTGACTCTCCACGATTTTCGCTCTTTGATGCCACCCTGGGGCAGAAAAATAGGAGTCCACTTTGGTCGACTTAGTAGTCTGGTGAGATTAGTGCGCAAATCTTTGCGTCTCTAGCACTCAGTGTGGCTACGTCCCCGATCAGATATGTCTTCAAGTCCGACATCCAACTTTCCTCATTTTGCGCCTGGTTTATACGTTCAATCCGGACTTGTTGTACATTTCTTCTTGTAAAACTGCTTGGGGGAATCGTCTTCGCGTCTTTGATCGCGTGATCGCGGCTATCTTGAATGGGTGGTTAGTCTGTTTTGGTATCATTAGTTCATTTAACCGATTAAGGATCACGAGTTAGTCTCGTTCTTGGTCTGATACTGCGACATTTCATTTACCCTGACGTAACGCCTCGCTCGCTAGTCGATCAGCACTCTGGTTCCAGTCCCGTTTCAAATGTAGCAATTCGTGTTTTGGCCACGACCGGAGTTTCTCCATTGCCTTATCTTTTAGACGTTGTAGACCTGGTGCTGTACAGTCGATTTCACCTCGCATGGTTTATTACCAAGCTCGAGTCACCACAAAAGATCACCCGACTTCTGATCTGATCGGACAGTGACTCCAGACCCTGCAACAGCCCACGATAATCTGCCTCGTTTACCGTCAAATCTTCCGCAAATTCTGAAGTAGCCACCACGATCGTCCATCCAGGCAACTTCCATATTATTGTGCTGTAAGCGCCACCTTTCTTCTTTACCCTAGCCGATCCATCGAAACTGACCACCAGGACACTTTCGTCTACTTCGACTGTGGGTGGTGGCATACTAATATTTTTTCGTGGTTGTTTCCTTGGATCGATTGCGATCAGCACCTCATCTACATCCTTTCGAGGTGTTATACTTGCAGCCAGCGTACCTGACACTTCGTCTTCGCCTTTTTTGCACCGTCTGATATCTAACGTCCAGTTCGATAGTAACGCCGTCCATCTCCCTAGTCTTCCGTTAAGACGCGACGACTGCAATAGCCAAGCCAACGTCGATTATCTCGTAATCACCATGATCTACCGCGAAACCAACATAGTATAACAAATGTCTAACATTTGGTGGAGGGCTAGCACTTCTTTCTCAACAATTTTGTAATTGACTTCGTTGGATTTCAGCGTGCGACTAGCAAAAAGACAGGCCAAAACGTGCCGTCACACTCTTGAAGCAATGCGGCTGATACCGCCTACTTACTGGCGTAAACCACAATCACCGGTGCTTGATCTGGATCGAAATGTCTTAAGATCGGTATTTTAGCAATTTTGCCCTTTAGCAAGTTAAAATTTATCAACGCTTTCTTCCATCGACTTCCATCTCCAGAATCTAGATCGCCCCCTGTTTTCCGGTCCAGATAACCCCCTGTAATTCGGTCCAGATCGTTGCAGGGCTCTTTTTGCGAATCGTGATCACGATCGGGTTCACTGTTGGATACCATTATCCGAACTTCTTTGTCATGGCTGATCTCGTGGAAATCTGCTTCCCGTAGCTCGTAGAGCACGGACGCATAAATGGTGAAGTCTTCGATAAAACGACTGTAGTATCTGGACTTCCCAATAATAATTGCATTTATCGCAGAGTTCGAGGGAAGGAAATATTCGCAATTGAGTTTAAATCCTTGGGGTGGGCTTCCAACCCTTTGTGTGAAACTTGGTGACCTAGATAGTCGACCTTACAGCGCCCACAAAAAATCTTTGCCACACTGATCGATAGGTTCCATCGGTCACACACCTCTAGCAATCGTTCCACCTTTTCATACAGAGAGGACCAGAATTCAGCAGGTATTAAGATGTCATCGATATAGGATCTTCGTCCTAAAACTGATGGTCTTGGATCTGTGTCCGGCACTCCGTCAGTGAACACATCGGTTGGTGTCGACGATGGTAATGCATGCGAGTTAGGTGTTGGGTCGATCTTGAGATAATATTAAAGTGCATTGTCGGTAAGTCGTAGGTATATCTGGTGAGCGTTTCTTAGCCCAAAAGGCATTCGCAACCATTCAAACAAATTCGACGGCGTGATGAATGCAGAAATAGCTCTTGCTCGTTCCATCATTTCCACTAACCAAAAACCACTCGCCATGTCTAACGAGCAATACTACATCGCTTTATCCAAGTCTTGTAATAATTCGCTGATCAGTTGCATAGGGTATATCACTAATCTTGTCCACTGATTCACCCTCCTGTAATCGATGCACATCCGTATGTCCTCCCCATTTTTCTTGATAATCACCACGATCGGAATGCCTAGGTGAAATGGATGGTTGAATGATCTTGGCTGATAATAATCCCTTGATCAGGTCCGCCAAATTTTCTTGCGATTTAGGTGCCACCGGTCGTACTCTTTGCGCGATCGGTTTGGCACCACCAACATCAATGTCACATACTGCTTCACGCGCAGCTGGAGGCAAGGCGTTCCCTTTGCCTATGCGTAAGTGGTGATTTTTCCAAATCAGTTGCCTCAGCTTCTCCTTATCGTGTGTCAGCGGGACAATGTCACCTATAGCCACTTCCTTTGTGGGCGCATAACTTTCGTGCAAGAGCGCCATATGTCGGTACGCATCATCCGCAAAATATACCCCCCCATCGTGGCGATAACCCACCGATTTCGTTTGAGTCTCGTCTGTCACGTCTTTCTCGCGATTCAGTACTGTAGCATTCTGTATCTTTTGATCTGACAATTCGAGCTCTTGATCGTCTCCGACCGGGTGATCATCGCCGATCGCGATCTCTTGTGCTTGTCTGATTACGTCGTCCGAGTGTTCCTGTGACTGATAGCCCTATTCTGCCTTTACTACGGTATTGACCACGGCAGGTGCCTCTAGTGATCGCTGCCCGTCTCTGTCGGGGCGATCCTCTTTCACGATCTGGCGTTCTGTGACATCCGTCATCTTTGCTTGTGGGGCTAGCAGATCTGATCGGCTTCATTCCATACTCCTTCCTTGTTTATCTCTGTGGGTCAGATCCTTCTTGGGGATGGAATCTGACGGGTGATTCACCAAGTGCCTGAATAATTGATCGGGTGTTCCTTGGTTGATTCCGTTGTAGCTTCAAGCGCCAGAGTCTGCCATTTATTTTACCGGCGCGATCCAAATGATACATAGCCCGGCGATCGGGTTATTATGTCCGTCATCATCCACCACCCAAAAGGGATATCGTGACTGAGAATCACCTGCTGATCGACGATGTTGGTCAGTATCAAGTACTTGATCTGGCCCGGTCCAGTATTCACCGTCGGCACCCTTATTTTATCCCGTCTCACCCATAGTTTGGACTTAGGGAAACCTGCTCCAATCCTCATCTCCGTGTATTCTCCAGCAGGAATTACTACATGTTGGTCTGGGACAACAATCGGTTGCAAATTTACCCCATACGGAGGCCTGCGTCCTGCCAAGTGAATTTTCACCTCATCTGGCAAACAAAGCGTACCGCCCGCCAGATCTAACCTTATTCCCGCTGGCACCATAAAGTCCATACCTAAAATCGCTTCTTGGCCCACTTGATCGCCCACCCAAACTTCAAAGTAGTACACCAGCGTTCCGTTTATTGTGATCTTGATTTTGGTGTGTCCTTCCGTCATGTAGGCATTCTCCTCGATTCCTACACATTCCTGTCTCTGTCTGTCATCAATCACACATCCCACCTTACGAGCAAAGGTGGTGTCTATGAATGAGACTTCGGCTCCAGAATCGAACAGCATGGTGACCTTCTCGCTATTTATTTTACATACCGCTTTAGCCTGTTTAAACCATTTTCCTGGCGTGTGATACTTCCAATATCCTCTCGATTCCCCTAGCGCTAGATCGAACTCCATCTTAACGGGAGATCGAAAATGTTCGTCCACCTTCTTTGCACTTAAAATATTACACAACCGATGGTGGTCCAGATCACATGTATTAGCGGTCGGGTCGATCCGATTGTTTCTCCCTTGATCGATCCTGCCCTTCTCCACAAATGCATATATACATAGCCTAGAACGCTCGGCTCGTGCCAGATTCCATCCTGGCGAGCATCCTAGTTTGACATCTCTTCTGCCTTGGTCGGTAGTAGTCCTGCGTGCTTGGTGGGGACGTACCACTTGCGGATCAGGTTGTAGAACTCTTCCATGGGACATTGGCCGCTCTCGTGAACTTCCCCACAAGCGGAACACACATGTAGACATTTGTCCGAGGGGTGCCCTTTTCGGCCACACTTCTGACAGGTCAATCTTTTCCAGCATCCGCGATCGTCATGTCTTTTCGAGCCGCAGTGTGTGCAGGCTTTCGCAACTCTGCCCCGATCACGATCATCATCTCGGTCTGTCTTTCGCGAACTGTCTCGTTGATCCCCTGGGTCTGCATCCTGATCAGTGTTAGTCGCCAAACAAACCTTACGGCGAAAATCTTCTTCATCTGCATCGTCCGAACTTGAGCCTGAGTCGCTTTCCTTACTTTCTGCACGGATGGCCTTCACTATCCGTGGTGTCTTCGAATATGCTTGGGCTGGCGTCGTAGCCGATCGCGATCGGTACTTGTTCGAGTCAGTCGGATCCTTATTCTGTCGAAAACTCATACGCTAGTAAGCGCGTAAAGTTTCTTCCATCGTGTTAGCAGCATGCACTCGCAATAGGGTCAGTTGCTTCGCCAACTCTCGATCATCCAAAGTGTCAATGAAGTGTTCTACATGCTCACGTCGGCTTGCTGGCGATCCATCTCTGAACGCCACTTTTGCTCGCATTCCTGCTAGATTTAACTGGTCAAGTATTCCAACGGGGTTTCATTTGGACTCTTCCGCGCATGGTAGTATTGTCTTCCAGATAACATTCCATATCCTCCATATCGGACCATGAAGCCTTCCGACAACGACTTCCAATCATCGCGGGTAGATCGGCTCAACTGGCTTAACCAAATTCGGGCAGCTCCTGTGAGCAGGTCTCCAAATACCAGACATTTCTCGTCGTCTGGAGCCTGATCGCGTAGAAATGCAGTATTCATTTTGTTAAAACAACCTTTAGCACGTTCTTTGTCTTGATCACGCCCTGAAAATTCTTTTAGATCGGCCATCGCCGACAACCTAATCCTCTGTGCGCTGAAATATCCCGTAGGGGCGGTATCTGCAGTTGCCACTTGTGGTCGTCTTAGATCCTATGGTCCCCTGCGATCTGACTCATGTTCTCCCGGTCGATCGCAGTATGAGTCTACTGACTACATTTCGACGTCTAGGACGATCGGATACTTAGATCCTCGTTCTTCGCGATCGCGAATGAATTTGTCCATGGCGGCCTTAAAATATGTTTGCAACTGGCTTGGCTCCACCGTGTTTGCATTCTGTGAAGCCGGAATTTGAGTCTATTGTATTCCACTGTTAGCCGGGTCGAGCCTTTTTTTAAGCATTGCAGCCCTTGTCGGTACCAGCGACATCCGCTGCATCCCAAACGACTCGTCCGAGTCCATATCTGATTCTGCCAAGGCATAGCGTGACGACCCCGTGTATTCCTCTTTTACGTTGCAGTTGACTCTCTCCCTGGTCTCAGGTGTCCTTCTTCACTCTTGATTCGCCGGCTCAGATGTCCTTCGTCACTCTTGATCCGTTGGCTCATCGGGTTGTGAGACCCTGTCAGTGGAGTTAGCTTTTCGAATAGTAGCTGTCCTGCTTTAATCACCCGATCGTGATTAAATTCTAAGAGCGTCTGTGCGTCGAAAACTCCAGCTGCAAATCCAGCGTCTCTTAGCATCTGAATAAGCCGATGCACTGCCTCCAACTTATTCTTGGTCACTTTCGGTGGCGATAGTGGACCTTGGATCGACCCGATCAGCTTAGGTTTAAGCACCTTTAGGACTGGGTCTTCTGCAAGAAGTTTTTTCAGTTTTTGCCAATGGAATTCCCGGGTGATCCGTTCCAATTGCCAGCCTTCTGATTCCACATCCTGACCTTCTGCCTTGATCTCTTGATTATTTAGATGTGGCTCTGCCGTCTTCGTCTTTAAACGGGCCAACTTAGGAGTGTGTTTCCTCGCCTTTGGTTGGGCGGTAGTTTTGGAAGAAGATCTTTCAGTTTTTACTGAAGGATTTCCATCTGGCAGATCGTGCTTTGCAGCACGATCCGCGGTGGTCCCCGAAGGGACCTAGGAGGGGTTTGTGGTTTTTCTTCCAGATCAGCTTGGTGATCTTCCTCTTTGACTTTCTTGTCATCAAATCCCCTCCCAAAACTAGGATGATCTTGGCATCCTTTCTCTTCGCGCGTCTGTGGCGATCCATATTCCGCTGAAGCTCCAATCCCAGGTTCAGTCTTGATCTTAACATCTTCATCTCGGGACTCACGGTGAAATCTTGAGTCACCAGAAGATCCCGGCACGCGCAACATTGTGGTGGAGTGGGGTTCGCTCACTTTTTGAGGCGATCCCGACTCTCCACTGGCGCCCAGACGACCGACTAACGGAGGGGGTACTCCGATTCCGCTTGCACTTGTTTCCTCCTCACCTTGTGTACCCGTCGGCAGGGCGGGTTGCACTCTTCTAGGTGGACTCGACGAGATGCTAAACTTGACCGTTGTAGAGATTAGTGCTGATCGGGTGGAAAATCCTCACCCGATCGCGTGTTCTGGGTTGGCGCTCTCCTAGAGTCGCCGTGATCTGCCCTGATCACCTTGTGCCAAAATGTGTACTTGAGTCGCGAGCCTTTCTGGCCACTTGAGCCGTCTCGCGATCTTGTACTTCAATTGATACGGTTGGCTGCGTCCGATCGCAGTAGGGGTGTGTTGAGAGTCCTAGCACTCCTGGCCAAATAGCTCCAGGAGTGATCGTTCTATCCTTGATGTCGAGATTCTCAGACGTCGGGAGGCCAAAATATCCAACCCGGGAGAAGATCGACACGAATGTGTTTAGAAGCAAATTGAATTCTGTTTAATGTTAACCAATTAGACCCTCACACCTTACCCCTATAACTCGGAAAATCAGATGCCACGCGTCGCCTATACAGATCGCCCCTTGTGTCCATGTGGCACAGACCTGACACACCAACCGTCTGATCGCATCAGGGCATGGTCCACGCCGGATCGCGGTCCCTTGATCGCAGTCCCCTGATCGCGGTCCATCAATCGTGGTCCCTTGATCGCGGTCCATCAATCGCGGTCCCTTAATCGCGGTCCCTTTCGCCGTTCTGAACCGTTCTGACCCGTTCTGACCGGATGAGATGTTTCCGTGAATGATCCCAACGGTCCCATCCATATGATTGGTCCTCGTCCCACGATCATTCCGCCGGTCCCCACTCCGTACCTAGGCATACGTTTGAGGTTTTACGACACCGACCTTGATCGACTTTACCACAGTATAGTCAGCGCCTACTGTGCGTTCTTCTTTTCGAGCACGAAATAGGGGTGCTAACTGAGAGGACGCCGGCGGAGTCGCCACCTGATCTACAAATTCGGCGGCATCTGCAGCTTCAAAAGCAAAATACCGCTTAAACGTCCGTCTTCTACCAAGAGAACCTTCAGTACGTGGATCGGAGGGCAGTCGAGAGCTTTATCTTCTCCGCCATAACACCTGCATCGGAGACTGCGCTCATCTGTTAGTAAAAACAATTTACAAGATTATCTAGCAACGCATTTGCGTCAGCACAATTTTGAAGAATCGGACGCCTTCGGACGACACACATTGTTGTCTGAATGTTCCAGAAGTGATCCTTAATGGTCTCATTTCTTCTCAAAGCATCCAAGTACTACATTTATCACGCAGAACGTCCGTGAAATTAAAAACGGGTACGTACCGACTGGATGTCGGCATGGCGTAGCCGTCTTGCCTGTAGTCGACCACAGGCGTGGTGCATTCAGAAAACCCATGCTAAAACTTCCAAGGAAGCTCGAGAGTTATGCTCGACCTGGGCCCGTATGTGGGGCAAGCACTGGGAAGGCGGTCACCCGCCACATTCGTACTGGAGCGTTGGGTCGTCTCGACTCGGGGCGTGGCAAGTTTTCTAAAACCCTCTTCTTCTGTTAAAGCTTTTCCTGGTGTCAAGATTTGTGGAATACCAGGGCTATCGCATTATCATTAAATGATAGGGTCCTCTTCGTAGCTCAAACCCGAGCGCGAAGTCTTCTACATTATCTCGCCCGTCTGGACTTACCGCGGGACAGCTCTATCGGGACAGGTGGCTTCAACTGCGTCCAAAACCCTCTACTCGATCGGCTTGTTCATCATCGGTCGTGTCGACCGTAAAGCCCGAATCTTCAAGCCCTTTTGAATCTTTATGGTCTAGAGGATACTTAACTCCTTCGATCTCATGCGGATAATGAGGAAGCGGATGACTGTGTAGATCATTTTACATACTTGGATGGGGAATCAGCAAGCCGCATTGATCGTTTTTATGTTTCTAAGAGGTGGCTGAATTAGTGCTGTGATTGGCCGTCCGAACACCTCCCCAGGCGTCGTATCATCATGAAGTGGAGTTACACTTACGCGTGCGGAGGCGTTCTGCCTCCACCCTCTACCGGCGTCAGGTATCCTATCCCATAACGACATACAAACCCGTACGCGTTCGATTCTATCTGATTTCAGAAATGGATAGGTGGGCGGTATCCCCAACTACGCCGGCCATGCAATTAGATGCTGTCGTGGAAGCGTGCGAACATTGCATAGCTACCGTCCGCAAGCGCGAGCGTCGAAGACGTACCTTTTAAGAAGCGGGTAAGCCGACGCAAACAGCTTAACCGCTTCTTGAAACTTCCTCATTGGATCATCGCTATATGGAAGATAGCCGCCTAGAGCATCTCGTTCAATCAAAGCAAGGCCTCGAACGGACCACTGCGCGCCTTAAGTGGTCTTTTAAGCGGGTCGCAGAATGGGAGCGCGACCAAACAGTTACGGATATCGTCCACATTCAAGGTCCGCCATTTGAAAAAAAACATGTCCGTTGCCGACAAGATCGCTGCGGAATGGTCACCAATTCTTAGCGCCGTGCATCGGGTTGACCCTTGTCAGCTATACCGAGCGCGTTGCTTTCTCTGTGTCAGTGCCTACTGATCGCTTAATTTCTAATGCTGATACTAATGAGCTGATGTTGGACTTCACGGAGGCTGAAGTCCTCCAAACCAGCAACAAGCTTGGCCTCCACGAAGCTTCAGGGCCGAACGGGTTTAAGAAACGAACTCCACAACGATACGTCCGCTTTACTGGCTCCGGCTCTGGTGCACGTGCGCTAGCAAATATTGCACAATTCTTGTATGCCGCCTTCCTTTCTCGAGGTGCTGACTATTCCACTCATAAAAAGGGCGATTCGTCGGACGCACTTGACTATAGGCCGATCTTGTTGCTAAAGAATAGTTATAAACTTTTTCGATAGTGCTGGCCTCCCGACTTCAGCGAGTCTTACCTACGATCATCGGGGAATCGCATCAAGGTTTTGGTCAAGGCGGACAAGTCCAAATATGGTCACGATGGTGACTGCCCAACTCGCTTCAGCGGAGGAGACGACGGATCTGTCTGTCTACTTAAGTCGAGCTATTCGATTACTTGACTTTCGCAAGGCGTACGGCACTGAGGATCGTGATCTTCTGTACGCAGCAATACGGAGCTTTCAGTCTAATAAAGTGTTAACGAATATCGTCACCCGGATGCGTACGGGAACAATTGCGTGGTTATCGGTGAATAAGAATCTCTCTGATCCAATTCCTGTCCGGTCCGGGATACGCCAAGGGTGTCCTCTCGCACCGCTTCTTTTTCTTATTTAGTAGAATTACTTGGGATGGATGTACACCAGGTGACCACTATCCGAGGCATTCCTGTGACAGGGCACCCTTTTTGTTTGACGTGCCGCGAAACTTCACGTACACTAGTACTTGCAGAGGAAGCTAAACTACTTGAACGACTTGGTCAAGAAAAGGTAAAAAGAGAACTGTAGTTAATATAGTTAAGCTATCAATATAACTTTAGTCTTTATTTAACTATTTTAAACTACGCCGTCGTATGACGACAACCTGCTCACCACTCATTGCGCGCGTCTAGCAGCGATTGGTGGCAATCTATGGCTGATATGTCTTTATCTACCTTTGAGCAGCTCATGAATACTATCCAAAAGGAGATAATATTCCTTCAATATTATACATCTCGGATAATATCGGTAAAATGTTGTCATACTGGACATATTCCCAATTGACACCGTTTGGTGTCAATTTTATGAAACGGGCTACCCCGTTACATCACACCCCCCTTGACCATCAATCACCTGTTGATTGAATTAGAATTGATTGGGACAGGGTGATCACCGTTGGATCACTCTGGGAAAGGGAGCACTAGTTGGTCAAATTCCGTTCATTTGCCAATCCAACGCATGGTTTCCAAAACCACGCGAGCTGCTACTGCAGCAGCAAGAAGAGCGGCTACACGGATGCGTGCGGCCACGAGAAGTGCCTCTTACGTCTCAGCAGCAGGCGATTCGTCGCCTGTTGTCGTGAATCCTCCACGTGGTGAGTCACCACGTGCGACAGGTATACCCGTTGCGTCTGCAGCGGGTACCTCAAATTGTAGTCAAGACGAGTCTATAATAGAGCTCATCTATTCCGGCAAGTCGGATGATGCATCCGAATAGGAAGCGACTCCTCACGCCTCGGGATCACCCGGGGCGGATGCTGCAAAAGCCAGGCTGACTGGCTCTGGTCAGCGCGGCAGTATCATGCTTGATATCTTCGGATCGAGTGATTATTCCGATGAGTCATCGCCTCACGCAAGTCCATCCAACGATAGGACGCGTGGGGGTGGTGGTGGTGCTCCTATACATCACCACGAGCGAAGTGACTCAAGGGATTGGGGTAACGCTAGTGCCAGTGCTCATGCTGGCACCAATCAAGAGGCCAGAGACCGAAATGTCCTGCGCCGCGCTTCTCAAGTGAAGTCTCCGTGGATGCCGCCATCCAGAGAGTTGGACTGGTTGTCCGGAACGACTACCGATCGAGATCGAATCTCTTTGTTCGATTGCAGGAAGATTTGGCCATCTGATTCCAGCACGGAGACTATCCGTGCTGAGAATGGGTTCTTCACCGATGCGTTCTTCGAACATCGGTGGTACAATGGTAGCTGTTTTAGGGACGGCAAATCCTTGGTGCAGGGATGGAATGCACCCATCCACAACATCGAGTGCATTGGCCGTGAGGCCTGGCTCACCAAACTTGATGCAGCTCGCATCAGGTTTGATAAACGCAACCCCGTCGGGGCGCGATACAAGTTGCACCGGATTTCAAGAGAGGCAGGATTACCCTGTCTCTCGTGGGCTGATTCGTGTCCAGGATGCATGGACGACTCGAAGCGAGCCCCTAGGGAGGCCTAACTCCCTAATGATCCCTACTGGAGGGCGCGCATCTCTTCCGAGATTGCCGAAGGGATCGACACTTTGCAATCCCTGTACTCGCGTTCGGGGAGGTCGTTTTCCGACGGCCCTTCTTCAAAATAGCGGGTGAGCATCGTCTTACTGCTCGACGAGACCAAGGAGATCAACAATCAGCTGGGCACGAGGCTTCCAGCTTTCCCACGCCGGTGGATAGCCACGCCAGCGGACGCGGTAACTCGTCCGGACGCCATTCACATCGCGGTGGCTAAATATACGTTCCACTAGGAAGCGTTGACCACCTTTTGAGTCAACTAAAGGATGTGGTGGCGGCGGAAACACCTGATCCGGCCCGAGGGTCGGACCAAGTTGATGTTCAAGAGCTGAACCGTCTAACGGAACAGTTGCAAGATGACCTGGCTCATGAACGATCTCGGCGTCATGTATTTGAGGATCTTGTGATGGATAATCGTAATTCCCTAACGCACGATCGTCCGAAAGATCCTGCGTGAACAGGTCGCTTCGCTAGTCGACTAGACTGGCTCGTTGAAACGGGACCACTCGAAGGTGGTCTCGGCTCTCGACCGTGAAGGTGTTCTTCGCATCTCGAAACGGGCTCGTACTGATAGTGCGGGTGGATACGACCGATTTAAAACGTAGGATGCGTACGCATCTTACGGGGCAGTTGAATCGTGTATGCGTTGTCATTCGGCGTACCACACGAAATGGACCGAAGTACCTGGGCAGTAATTTACTGCTGCCCACGTGTGTCACTGCGTGCTTCGGTAAGTTTGCTGTAGACAGTAAAACTAGGTCTCCTATATCAAATAAAAGAACATTTGCTCTTCCATGTTTGTCTTCGTTTCGTTTCTGTCTTTCTAGTGCATCTGAAAAAGAGTCTAGAACGAAGCGGACAGCCGCTTCGCGAGTTAGCAGAAATTCATCTGCTGATTCATCCTTGTCAACAGCAGTGCGCTTCGTGTGCATTGCTGAAAGAACGTTGTCTCACCAGTGAGGGCGTCATCCATCTCACTTTGGCGGTCATTGGCAATGCTGAATATACCAGCATCGTCGTTATCATCATCATCGATGTCGATCGCATCGACATCAGCACCCATCACGTGGACACCATCGTCGACGGGTGATGAGCAAGAACCAGATCGGGTTTTTGTACAAGCGAGTCCCCCCCTCAACTAGAGTCACACTCTAAAAAGGCGGGTAAACGTGGATGGCGTAGGCCATTCACGAAGAAAAGTTTATGCGTTGTGGACGCGTGCACCGAGTTGTTGATGGCGAATTTCGTCATCGGCGAGAACTCACTCCAACTCTTAAACGAGTGGACACACCCTCGAAGTATCGCTTCGAGGACGCGGTTGACGCGTTCCGTCTGACCATCTGTTTCTGGATGGTCAGAAGCCGACATCTTCAAACGTGTTCCAAGTGAACGGAACACTGATTTCCAGAAATCCGCTCTAAAGCGGGGGTCCCCATCAGACACGAGTTCAAGGGGTAAGCCGTGAAGTCGGAAGATAGTATCGATGAAGACACGCGCACAGCCCTAGGCTGTGATTGACTTCGGTACTGCTTCAAGATGTACCATCTTGCTGAACCGATCAACAAACACAAGAATACCCGCATTCTTATGAACGTCTTTGAGAATTACAAAGACGAAGTCCATCGATACGGACTGTCAACACTCTGCCGGAATCGGAAGAGTCTGTAAGGGGAGCGCAGGATGAAGGGCTAGGCTTCACCCGTTGACAAACTTCGCAAGCACGAATGTATTTTCGCACAAACTCATACTGGCGGGGTCAGTAGAAGTCACGACTCACCATAAGGTAAGTCTTTTCTCTACCGCGATGTCCACTTGTTGGGGCATCATGACACTCATACATGATGCGCAATCGCAATTCATTGTGAGACGGAACGACGAAAAGAGGTGTGTCGATGTTGACTGCTTTATAGTACAGCAGTCCATCACGAACCGATTATCGTTCGGTTGAGAAGCGGTATTGAGACGACAAGCTTTTCAAAGCTTGATTACACGGATTGGATACGTAATCCATCAATCGCAGAAGAGACTCATCTTCTGTGTATGCTTTTCGCACGTCATCGAGCAGATTCGACGACGAAACACTCACTGTTAGTGTCGCGACAGTGGGATCACCCCTACTGTTGGGTTGAGCAGACGACTCGAAATCGGGCCGACGCGAAAGAGCATCAGCGACGACTTTTAGTAGTCCTAGTTTATACTCGACGGAGAAGTTGTAACCGCGAAGAAAGACAGCCACCTCGCCACTCGTTGCGAGAGGTGTGGACTGTTCACGGCCGTGCGTAATGACGCATGGTCGGTATAGACGATGAAGGGCCTATCTCCTTAGAGATGGACCCGAAACTTAGCCAGTGCACATTTCATGCAAAGGGTTCCTTGTCTTGCACCGGATAATTACGCTCAGCTGCTTGCAGCTGACGCGATTGTAAACAGATGACGCGCTCGACGCCGTCTGAGTCGTACTGCATTAACGCGCAGCCGATTGCAAAATCGCTGGCGTCACAGACCATATGGAATGGCCTATCCGGTTGACGCGTTCCGTCTGACCATCTGTTTCTGGATGGTCAGAAGCCGACATCTTCAAACGTGTTCCAAGTGAACGGAACACTGATTTCCAGAAATCCGCTCTAAAGCGGGGGTCCCCATCAGACACGAGTTCAAGGGGTAAGCCGTGAAGTCGGAAGATAGTATCGATGAAGACACGCGCACAGCCCTAGGCTGTGATTGACTTCGGTACTGCTTCAAGATGTACCATCTTGCTGAACCGATCAACAAACACAAGAATACCCGCATTCTTATGAACGTCTTTGAGAATTACAAAGACGAAGTCCATCGATACGGACTGTCAACACTCTGCCGGAATCGGAAGAGTCTGTAAGGGGAGCGCAGGATGAAGGGCTAGGCTTCACCCGTTGACAAACTTCGCAAGCACGAATGTATTTTCGCACAAACTCATACTGGCGGGGTCAGTAGAAGTCACGACTCACCATAAGGTAAGTCTTTTCTCTACTGCGATGTCCACTTGTTGGGGCATCATGACACTCATACATGATGCGCAATCGCAATTCATTGTGAGACGGAACGACGAAAAGAGGTGTGTCGATGTTGACTGCTTTATAGTACAGCAGTCCATCACGAACCGATTATCGTTCGGTTGAGAAGCGGTATTGAGACGACAAGCTTTTCAAAGCTTGATTACACGGATTGGATACGTAATCCATCAATCGCAGAAGAGACTCATCTTCTGTGTATGCTTTTCGCACGTCATCGAGCAGATTCGACGACGAAACACTCACTGTTAGTGTCGCGACAGTGGGATCACCCCTACTGTTGGGTTGAGCAGACGACTCGAAATCGGGCCGACGCGAAAGAGCATCAGCGACGACTTTTAGTAGTCCTAGTTTATACTCGACGGAGAAGTTGTAACCGCGAAGAAAGACAGCCACCTCGCCACTCGTTGCGAGAGGTGTGGACTGTTCACGGCCGTGCGTAATGACGCATGGTCGGTATAGACGATGAAGGGCCTATCTCCTTAGAGATGGACCCGAAACTTAGCCAGTGCACATTTCATGCAAAGGGTTCCTTGTCTTGCACCGGATAATTACGCTCAGCTGCTTGCAGCTGACGCGATTGTAAACAGATGACGCGCTCGACGCCGTCTGAGTCGTACTGCATTAACGCGCAGCCGATTGCAAAATCGCTGGCGTCACAGACCATATGGAATGGCCTATCCGGTTGACGCGTTCCGTCTGACCATCTGTTTCTGGATGGTCAGAAGCCGACATCTTCAAACGTGTTCCAAGTGAACGGAACACTGATTTCCAGAAATCCGCTCTAAAGCGGGGGTCCCCATCAGACACGAGTTCAAGGGGTAAGCCGTGAAGTCGGAAGATAGTATCGATGAAGACACGCGCACAGCCCTAGGCTGTGATTGACTTCGGTACTGCTTCAAGATGTACCATCTTGCTGAACCGATCAACAAACACAAGAATACCCGCATTCTTATGAACGTCTTTGAGAATTACAAAGACGAAGTCCATCGATACGGACTGTCAACACTCTGCCGGAATCGGAAGAGTCTGTAAGGGGAGCGCAGGATGAAGGGCTAGGCTTCACCCGTTGACAAACTTCGCAAGCACGAATGTATTTTCGCACAAACTCATACTGGCGGGGTCAGTAGAAGTCACGACTCACCATAAGGTAAGTCTTTTCTCTACCGCGATGTCCACTTGTTGGGGCATCATGACACTCATACATGATGCGCAATCGCAATTCATTGTGAGACGGAACGACGAAAAGAGGTGTGTCGATGTTGACTGCTTTATAGTACAGCAGTCCATCACGAACCGATTATCGTTCGGTTGAGAAGCGGTATTGAGACGACAAGCTTTTCAAAGCTTGATTACACGGATTGGATACGTAATCCATCAATCGCAGAAGAGACTCATCTTCTGTGTATGCTTTTCGCACGTCATCGAGCAGATTCGACGACGAAACACTCACTGTTAGTGTCGCGACAGTGGGATCACCCCTACTGTTGGGTTGAGCAGACGACTCGAAATCGGGCCGACGCGAAAGAGCATCAGCGACGACTTTTAGTAGTCCTAGTTTATACTCGACGGAGAAGTTGTAACCGCGAAGAAAGACAGCCACCTCGCCACTCGTTGCGAGAGGTGTGGACTGTTCACGGCCGTGCGTAATGACGCATGGTCGGTATAGACGATGAAGGGCCTATCTCCTTAGAGATGGACCCGAAACTTAGCCAGTGCACATTTCATGCAAAGGGTTCCTTGTCTTGCACCGGATAATTACGCTCAGCTGCTTGCAGCTGACGCGATTGTAAACAGATGACGCGCTCGACGCCGTCTGAGTCGTACTGCATTAACGCGCAGCCGATTGCAAAATCGCTGGCGTCACAGACCATATGGAATGGCCTATCCTGATCTGCAAACGCCAACACAGGCGATTTCACCAAGCTTTTCTTGATGCCTTCAAAAAAGTGCTGACACTCAGCGATCCATGACCACCTATCACGTTCTTTAGTAGACGAGAGAGATGTACAGTCAGATCGGCAAAATTGCGTGAGTATTTTTGCAAATACGCTGCCAAGCCAAGGAACTTTCGAAATCTCTTGACGTCGACTATCACAGGCCAGTCGCTAATCGCCTTGAAATTTTCCGTATCAGGGCGTACACCGTTTTTACCCACGATGCAGCTAAGAAGTGGTTTTTCGTTCGCCGCAAATATACACTTCTTGAGGTTCGCGAACTACTTTTGCTCTCGCATTTAAGTAAGAACCTTCTGAACGTAGATTCTATGAACCTCCACGTCCGTCTTTCCATCCATAGCCCGGCTATGGACGAAGACATCGTCGAAGTAACTCGGTACGAAATTGTGCACCAATCGCAACAGATTCGTAAAACATCTGCTAAACATTGCGAAGGCGTTACTTAGCCCCTGTGGCATTACTAGCCACTCCCAGAGCATACCACTGGGTGTGCTCACTGTTGCGTAAGGGATATCCCGTTCACGCATGAGGATCTGATAGATTTCATCCATCAAATCCATGGATAAAAGATGGTACTTTTTGCTCTACCATCTTTGATGACGTCTTTCCTTGGGATCGGCGTTTGAGCCGGTACCGTTGCAGCGTTCAATTTGTTGAACACGTGCACTATCCGCCACACTCCTGTGGCCTTTCGCACGCAGAAGTTAGGAGAGCTGTAAGGGGATGTTGATTCCCTCACATGGCCAGACGCTAGTTGATCGGCAAAGAATTTGTCGATCGCTGTTACCTGTTCACGAGGCAGTGGCCACTGGTTCATGACACAGTATATCGAACCAGGTTTCAGTTCGATCTCATGCCGAGTGCCTTTGTCTTTGGGCAGCTCGCATGGCACGGATTCAGGGAAAACATCCCTGATTTCAGCCAAATCCTTATACAAAGGATTTGTCTTTAAAGACTCCCAAGATTGAGACGTGTATCGCCTAATCCGGGTCTTCTCACCGATGACACTCTAGTTCATAGAAGAGCTACAAATAACCCTTCGTTCTCAGCAAAAACTT